CGGACCAAGTCTAAAGAACATGGACCATAACTATCGTTCAAAAGCCACATTGTCGCCTTTACCCGAATAATAGGACCTCAACTCAATTTACGTTGTAAGGACTACACTGAGAAAAAACTATGGCTTATAAACCTATTAGAGGTAAATATGGAACACCACTAATAGTAGTACCTCTACATATAATAATAGCACATATACCTTAGTTATGGTCTCTGTACCTTAATTAGGTACAGAGACCTTAGTATGGTTCACAGACCGAGAATCATTAGTTTATTTACGACTATTATAGGTGTTCCATATTTACCACTAATAGGTTTATAAACCATAGCTTTTTCTCAGTGTAGTCTGGCGATTTGTACACTGGAAAAAAAAAACACATTGGATCTAGAGTCTAGACTCTTAAAAACATCGACAAGAAAAAATACTCTTGATCTAATCGGATTTTTGCTTCAATCAAGAACCAAGCCTCTTAATTTGAGCGGATTTCCTTTTGATTTAAGCAAAAATCTGATTGAATCAAGAGTACTGTCTCTTGTCAATGTTTTCAAGAGTCTGGACTCTGGATCCAATGTGTTTTTTTTTCCCAGTGTAGTTGCGCCAAATTGACAACCTCTCCGTGCGAATTTCGAGCTTGGATCAGTGTTGGTGTTAGGCTTTTGAAAAATAAGCTGACCGGTGAGACGTAAATAACTCATTCCGGGTCCGTTTCCTTCCCGAGATTGGCATGCGCGGTGGTTCTTCTTCTCCGTGCTAAGGAAGAACGCCGTATGAACACTCGAGGGTTGTCAAATTTCCTTTGTTAATATGTTCATTTATGAGAAAAGTTATGAATATTTTTCCTTGAAATTTTCAGGAGCCTTAGACGATATTGCGAATAAAATTATCTGAATAATTGGAAGAGAAATATTCATAAGTTTATCAGGAAATTCTGGCATTGTCAAAGAAAATTTGGCAACGCCTGAAGGGTCATACAGCGTTTTTCCTTAGCACGGCAGTTCTGTCCTCCGGAGATGGGTATATACGGTGATTTGTCCTTTCGTGTGTTGTCGTGATGAATGAATCCAGGCCAAGATCGTACACGCCCTGGAAAGAAAGTCTCTTGGATCCAAGACTCTTAAAAATTTGACAAGGATAAATACTTTTGATTCAATCGGATTTTTGCTTGGATCAAAAGGAATCCGTCTGACTTGAGTGGCTTGGCTCTCGATTTGTGCAAAAATCCGACTGAATCAAGAGTGTTTTTTCCTGTCAAATTTTTCTGTTCTAGCCTCTGGATCCAAGAGAAATTTTTTAGTGTACTTTTTCTATGAATGATTCGTAGACGGTGATTGGTTTACAACAATTTTCCTTTCTTTTTGATCGTTCAACATTGCAATCTGTTGCCACATATGTAATAGACTCGATATTCTTTCCATCGGGGTCCGTGGTTGCCTGCACATTTAGCGTCTCTTCAAATTTCCTTCAATTCCCCTTGATACCGACCGCTTTCCGTTACGTTCGAATAGTGGTATCTGTAAAACCGTAGATGGCTCTAATTATTTGCAGCTTTCGGCAGGCTGTGTAATGAACTATTGGATAAAATCTGCACTAAATTGAACGTCGTACGTTTTACAATTTAATATCAAGGAGGCTCCTCACGGTTGAAAAGTTTTTTGGAAGCGCCAACAGTTAAGATACTGTATTCAGAAGCAGCTTTCCAGCTCGCTCGATCATACGGCTACTTCAAACTCCTGCCAAAAAAAAAAAAAAAAAAAAAACCTTTAATCCGCTGTTGATGAAATATTGTAGTAGTTGCCCTTTTTTGCAGGTAAATCTTTCAGCATCGCAGCAAAACACTCTGAAATGTCACACATACGTACTATACTTTCTTAGTCAAGTCTTTAAAATATAAATTTATAACACACACTTTTCAATGCACTTCTGCGCGTTATAACTCTGCTGGGAATGATTACTAATTACTATTCGTAGCCATATGGTGCGCAGCGCAGCTATATGAAGACTGTATGCTAATATTGCCACTATGCCACTGGTTTTGTAAGGACTGTTGCTTACAAAAAATAAATGAACAATTATAATGAAGGATAAATAGATAAATAAATAACTCGAACCTCCTCAATGGAAAAAGACTACCTCAGAGGAACAGAAACGATCACATAACGGATTCCTGGGCAAATGGTCCCGTAAGTCTAAAATTGTGACCTTGGTTTGAATATGGAACAAAGGCTACTCATCATGGACATGATGAGATAAATACATATGTAGAAATTGCCTCCAAAAATTTTTCAGGTGAAAGCTTAATATGGAATCAGTGTCAGCTTGGTACATTTAATAGGGAATACAAGATCAACAATTTGAAACAATTTTACGTGGGTTTTGATATAATTCTCTTGCATCATCTCTATGTTTAGACCCGGGGTTCCCTATAATATTATAGCATCTATACTATGCAATACGGTTTCAATTTTTCATAACATTGAAGATTACAAATCAGTACGTCTAAAAGACGTACAGCTATTAATACTGGTGTGTAGACGAATGATATGTAGTTACTTCACGGGCAGAAACCAAAGAAAGGCTCATCCAAAGGTGGTTTCCCATCAGAATTTCAGCTGAAATTTGAGCCTTCGACCTTTGTCGAGAAGCTGGCTCTGAGTTAAGGTCAAAGCCCCGCTCCAACCACCTCTGATTGATATTTCGGATTAATGTAAAGGTAGAAGGCCAAAAAAGGACCCGCGTTCTTAATTAAGGGACCCTTCTCCTCTTACACACTATCTAGCGATGCTGCGTTGGTTCTTATCAATTTTGGCAGCGCAAGTTCAAATTTTATTGTAGATACTGTCGACTCCAAAATTTTCAAAAATTTCGGAGTCGAGGAAAAGAATAAAAAGTTGGGAAATCGGGAAATGGAAACCCCGGGAGCGCTCGTTCTGTGCTGCCGTGCTAAGGAAAAACGCCGTATGAACATCCGAGAGTTGCCAAGTTTCCTTCGATAAAATACGATTTTATTGGGGGAAATTGTGAATATTTTTCTTTAAATCCAGACTATTTTGTTCGCAATTTAATCTAAAATATTTGCAAATTTCAAGGGAAAATGCGCATAAATTTCGTCAAAAATACATGTTAAATCCGGGGAGATTTGGCAACTCTCAAATGTTCATACGGCGTTCTTCCTTAGCACGGCAGTACGGTTGAATCCTTCAATTCTATTGTGAAATCCTCATCGAGGATTTTACGAGGACGGTGGCAACAGCGCCTAGCAATTATATTTAATCACGAGATACTCCTGATATTTTAATTCTCCCTCTTTCCCTTTTCGATTAATCCTCACCCTTGAGCCTCCCTTGTTTTTCAGCATTATTACTGCGCTCCGCCGTTCTTCCAGCGGCGTAATCTTTTCTGACGATTTTTGATGCCTCCCCTCCCCTCCCCTCTCGCATCAGTCTTATCACGCAACCTTCGCCTTTCCCTTTTGACACCGAGGAGGATAATTTTGAAGGGGCGCCGCACCTGTAATTTGCATTCAGGACGTTGTTCTATTCAAATATTTGGAAATGTTCTCGCCTTTGTCCTCTCCATCCATTACAAATACAAGAGACAATTGCCAGTCATGACGGACAGATTGCGCATCAATCGATGACGTCATGGCTTATCGAGAACAAGATGTTTGGAAACTGGCCCACGTTTAGTTTTAATGATTTTTTTTTTTTTTTTTTTTTTTTTTTTTTTTTTTTTTTTTTTTTTTTTTTTAAGGAATCTTATTTAAATATAATGTAACTACTACAAGTATTTCCTTGTATCTGTATACATGGTTTAAAACCAAAACTAAACGAATTGCATTAAATTTACAGGGTAACGTTAGATACCCATAACGTTAGGTACGTTATGTTAATAACTTGCTAAGTTTTCATCGGGAACGGCAGGGTTCGGTACTCCTCGAAAAGTCCCCGGATATGTAGAATTTTTTTCGGATTTTCAATCCTCGTTTCTTGTTAAATACGCTTTACTTGAAATTTCCTTCTCATTGTTTTATTATATTATTCTTCAAAAATTGAATCCTTTTTTTCCTTGTTATTTTGAATGGACTCAAGCAGTCATTTGTACCAGAGTTGCCATTCTCCGACGCACAGTGCGGCCCTCTGTGGACAGAAATTAAAAATTCACAACTCGACATCTGAATATTTTTTTTTTTTGAGTCTGTCATCTTAAAGATCTTTTTGACTGGCAATGATGGTTCATTTTCAAATATTTATCGCTCAAAACTACTTCTTTGGGTATAGAAAGTGGACGGGATATTGGTCAAGAATCACTGGTCCATTAGAAATACACATGAAAAAGACGATAACTTTAAATGAAGATTTCTCGCTTGAAACGTAAAACGCTCTTGGCGGTTGATATTTTCTTGATCCTCAGATGTCAAACTTCATTTCTACCAAAAAGATCTTGCGACCATCAGAGATGTTTGAAGTTAACGTTTGGGTATTCCACGTTGCATTTACATTGTTAACATATGACCGATTCGAGGCTGCCAACTTCAAATGAACTTTTCGCGACAAATTACAAAAAATCCTGAGATATAATCTTATTATTCGAGCGTTTTACTTTGATAGTGCCAAAGGGTTTTCCTATGTCGGTGCAACTATCCTCATTATGCAAAGTCCAATGTCTTTCACCGACTTTTGTCCGCGTCGTCCATAAGGTCGCCGCACAGTGGATCGAGTCAATTAGAGAGGTTGGACATGAAATTTTTGACTGAAACTGCAAATTTTGATGCTTATTTCGTCACATTTTAAATTTCAAGGGGTGTTTACAGAAGAAAATTTTACGAGGAGACCAATGAAACCACTTTAGAACCTCCCCTTTTTTTGTATAAACGGAGTTACAAGCGTTTAAAGTTTCCAAATTTTGTCCGACCTCTCTAATTTACTCGATCCACTGTGCCGCGCACTGTCCGACATCTGGATATTATCGAGCTCTAACGGAAATGCTTCTCTCTGTTTCAGATTCAATATAATTTAAGCCCGGCCGTGAGAAGGCGGAGACAGTCGTTGCCCAACTACGTCGGGACCGGGGGCTCGAAATCCGCCAAGAGTCGCTACATGCTCAAACGCAACTCCTGCACCGTCGCGTAAGCTCCGCACCCGCCGTGTTCCCGTCTCCCAGTTCCGGCCCGGTCGACGAAGAGAAGCACCATCAGTTTCACAATCAGAGAGGCAGAAATTAAGGGTATACGAGCTCGTAGTCCGTAGTCCTTGTGATTTTTTCTCCTTCTTTCCGACAGGAACATAAATTCACAGCTGAAGAAACGTGGCCAACAATTTTGGAAGAAACCGAGTAATTGACACTCTCGATATATTGCGGAATGTTATACTGTATGCATATGTACGTCTTGGAAACCCATTCCAATGTCTAACACCTGGTTCTAGATATAGGGTTTTTAAATTTGCATAATACCCCACAAGCAAGGGAACGGTCTATTGATGCCCCCCCCCACCCCCCTCCTCCGATTTCTCGAATAGGCGAAATAGTTAGGGGTCTTTGGTCCTTGACTTCAGCGAAAACCAATGAAAATCTTCCAGTTTCTTAGTAAAATTCCGAAAACGTACTCCCAAAAGCGCAAATGAAGATTTGAGCTTTTGAAGTGGTGCTCAATCCCCCCTGAGACATGCGATTCGACCTGCCCCTGAGACGTGCGATTCGACCTGCGTCACCAAAAACCCAAAACGCCCTCTTTTTCGTGCGTATGCAACACGGACAGCAACTCAGCCCGAATAGTTGCATTCAGGTGTTAAAATTATATTATTGGAGTGTTCGTCGCATGTGCCACGAACGGAGAGCGCTTTGCTTGTTTCTTTTACGCCTTAACTCAATTTCAGGATTGCTTATTGTGCTGACGAAATAGAATATCACTGATTTATGACACTGTAAATTTCCGAGAATTTTCCAGATCGTTCAATGCATTACGTTTCTGGGCGGCAAAAAATTAGATGTCAGAGAATGATTTGTAGAGACTCCTTTAACCCACTTCAATGCATCGTCGGGGTTGATAAAAATCATGTCTATATTTTTTCGAAAGTTTTTTTTTTTAAGTATTGGCACTTCCAAGGTGAGTTCCGAGACTCGTCCCTTGCGCTCTTGGGGTATGCATTTCTCCCTTTGAAGTTTCGCTTTTGGGTTCCGTCGAATTTCCTGGCTCTCCATATCAGCTCAATCTGCCCATTTAACTTAGCATTATATGGAAGTCGCCCTCCTACTTGCAAATGTATACTTCTCGTTTGATTGAATAGTAGTCAATGAGGGAATGAAATAAACATGTGACATACCTCATGTACGTGTAACAAGTTCGTGGCGCACCTGTTTTCAGTTTTTATTCTCAACCTTTGTTAGAAGTTGCAAACCTGCTACAGATGAAGTAAATCCCAAAATTATCGCCTCCAAATAAACTTTAAGGCATGTTGCTTTATTTGAAAATCTTACTTCGAAGTTTATCGGAAGTCGAGGTGTTGACATTTCATTCCCTCTGCATTACCAATTCGCCCATAGTGAATTTACAAGTAAAATGTATATTATTTTCAAGAAACCTCGCATATTTGTGAATGTCTGTGCAATTAAATAGGCCAAAACATACCAAAAATAATGTATAAACGTTTGTATTATTTTGTCAATAACCAAATAGAATTGCTTAGTGTCTAGACACCATTAAAGCTGAAATTGTAATTTTTTAAATTTATTTTTGTACAAAGCTTTATTAGAGTTGTAGTTCGACTTTCGGAAGGTTTCCCGGGATCTAAATCCTTCCAAAAGCCCATGTTCCTGTTTCATTTAGAACTCAAAAAGACATTGAGTAAATATTTGACGTGGAAAGAAAGAAAAAAATAATATGAAACGAGCAGATTGCTTCTCTCCCTAAGATATTAAAAGTGAAAATACAAGATTCAGCGGAGAAGCAAAAATCTGAATCAAACAGATTGCTCAATCTTCCTCTCTCAAAATTCCAGCCCTGCATAGCTTGCCCGTAGGGTCGTAGCGAGGTAGGTTCTCCCTCTCCTTACCCTCATGAAGCGTTTTCACCTCCAGTCTATTTTCTTTTTTGCGTGTTTCGTATCGTGAAACAAAATTAAAATTTCCCATCTCTAAAGACTTCCAACTTTAGCGAAAACAAATAAGAAATTTTTCAAATTCCGATTGTAAAATAGATTTGTAAATTCACGCCTCTCGCATCAAAAGCCGCGCTAAGAGGTTGTTTAGGGCACATCTTAGCGTAGGGGGGCTGAAATTGTTAAGGCAGGCATCATGGGTTACTTGACAGGGTACGAAATTAAATACCTCAGTGTATGTTTCCTCATGGGAATTTCTCGTAAAATACGACGATGATAGACGCAATAAAACTTGCCAATTTCAACTAACAAGAAAAAAGATGCCTGTGTTCGTCTACGTTGATTATTAATATCCTTTAAATGAAAACGGAGTCCACTCCAGTCAAATACAGCATTGAACTAAACTCTTTGTCACAACGGTAGAAGTTTCCTATGCAATTTTTTTTTTATTTTATTTTTTTATTTCTTATTTTTACTAGCTTAAAGATATTCTGTTTCAAGGAGGAGGAAACTGCGTGTGGAATCAAGCTCTAATTACGTGCACAATGATTCCAATTCTTTATATTTTGTCTACGTTGATAACGGTTTTTTCGCGAGCGAGATGATTGTTTTTATCTATGCACATAAAATCTAAACCCGGAACATCTATTTCACACTTTAGAATTAGTATTGGTAGGTGTCAATATATTCTGCATGTTCTACGCGAAATTTTGATGAGGAATCTTGTGCTGTAGCGCTAAATTATTACCCAATCCAGCGGTCCATTAGCTCAAGGGGGAGTTTTAATATAATTCCATCGGAATTGATAAAAGTTGACAAAAAATCCTCTCTCCTTAACAGACGCCGCCGTAGAATCCTCGCTATGGCCTTGCGATTACTATAGTTGATATGAGACTTTTTTTTTTTTTTTTTTTTTTTTTTTTTTTTTTTTTTTTTTTTTTTAAACCATACCAAATCTAAATTAGGTTTCGTTAATGTATTGAGAAATGGTGCTAGTCGCTTTGTTTAAGTTGTATATATTGCAGTTAAAGTCATGAGTCAATGTATTGTACATATGCTAACATTACCAGATCACTCGTAATGAGTGCAGGGAACATTCGAATTCTTAGTGTAGTAAATGTGTGTATGCATGTTTATCAGGACTGATTATCACTGATCTAACACAATCGATGTGAAGAGAATATATATTTTATTTATTCCCTATACATGAAACAGTGTAGGTGGCTTTTGAAGTCTTTCTTTTATTTTTGACGCGCGCTGTGGTTATTATGAATTTGTTTCCCTATGTTTAATTGTACGGGTGTGAGAGTTCCTGGGTGATGAGGATGAAGGGTTTGAAAAAGGCGCTAGCGCTTACTCAAACGCACGCCCTTTTTACTCATCCTCGTTGTGAAATTCGTGGCCTGGAGAAACCTATAGGATTTTGAATTTAATTTTATACGCTGGTGAAATTTAATACTTTATTTAGTTTTAAAAAAATACATTCGTTAACTTCGTATGTAAATGTAAATTAAGTCGTACATAATAATGAAATCTAGGACTCAGAAAAATCAGCCTTCAAAATAGGACTAAATTTCCCCAAGAAGGAACCACCATTCTGAATCATCCTTACAATCACCAATCTCCATCGGAAAACTAATGGAGCACATTTTTTTCTGAAATAAGCCGGGAATAGTGGATCCGTATGGCAAAATGTGGTCCAATTATAAATTGCACGCGCGAAAAATTGAAAAATATTTCTTCTACAGTAAAAGGACCTTACATTATGGATGTATACAGGGTGATCCAAAAGTCTCTTCCACCCCCTCTAACTTTTTACCTAATTGAGGTAAAGATTTGAAACTTGGGGGATATTCCTAGGTCAAAGGGAGCTACTTTTTGGTCCCCCTAAAATTTTAAGGGGGCCCCCCTTGGGGGGGGGCAACGGCCCCCAACTTTTAATTTTCAAATAGGAAGACCCCCTTTGTGATAGTTTGTTCGAAAGAGCATTAAAAAAGAAAACTTTTCGCGCAAACCCGAAGTCAATATCTCAAACCGTTTCAAAATGGCGGCCGGTTAAAGTTCAAAATGGCCGAAAATTCACACCGGTTATTTGTCGATGGATTTGCGCGAAAATCGGTATGTAGGGGTATTTTGACACGAGTAAAACGAATTTGACGTTAGATTTTCAAAAAAACCAAAATTTCAAAAATGGCGGCCGGTTAAAGTTTAAAATGGCCGAAAATTTTCACCTCGGTTTTTTCCTGATGGATTTGCCTAAAACTTGGAATTTGAGAGTATTTTGGCATAAGATAAACAAATTTGAACTTAGATTTATAGAAAAATCAATTTTTGGTCATTTTGAACTTTAACCGGCGGCCATTTTGGAAATTTCGGTTTTTTTTTGAAAATCTAACGTCAAATTCGTTTTACTCGTGTCAAAATACCCCTACGTACCGATTTTCGCGCAAATCTATCAACAAATAACCGGTGTGAATTTTCGGCCATTTTGAACTTTAACCGGCCGCCATTTTGAAACGGTTTGAGATATTGATTTCGGGTTTGCGCGAAAAGTTTTCTTTTTTTATGCTCTTTCGCACGAGCTATCACAAAGGGGGTCTTCCCATTTGAAAATTTAAAAGTGGGGGCCGTTGCCCCCCTAAGGGGGGACCCCCGGAAAATTTTAGGGGAACCAAAAAGTAGCTCTCTTTGACCTAGGAATATCCCCCAAGTTTCAAATCTTTATCTCAATTAGGTAAAAAGTTAGAGGGGGTGGAAGGGACTTTTGGATCACCCTGTTATCAGAGAGGCAATTGAAGTGAGACCGAAATACAGTCATCACCGGAGATGTCCTTTGAAGTCCTGAAAACGCGTTAACACCGTAATATTTCGTTCTCATCCCTTAAAAGAGGGCTATCGGTTACTTTTCTGCGAGCAGTCAGCTGTGAATAAAGGAACTTCTTAAACTCGGGGTTTTGTAGTTCTTGGACTTCAGAAAATGTACCTACGTTCATGCATACTCGATCTTCAGGAGCCAAAGGGTCATTTTGTGCACCATCTTTTCAATTTTTTAAATGGCTCCATGTCAAATTTTGGAAGGTAGGGTCAAGGTCCTTTTTCCGAAATCGGTAAAATACATTTCGAGAAATATTTTATGGTTTTTAGGTATTACGTAATTACAAATTATTTAAAAAAGAATTATCACCACTTTTGTTGGTAAGAGAGTTTTCTGAGGATTTAAAAAAAAAAAAAATCTTAACCAAAAGAAAATAGCTCGATACATTTTCGCCTTTTTCTTAATGATGTGCAGAAATTACAAATGGCTTTAAGCATCACATAATTTTTTTTTCTCCTAGTTCAAGCTTTGATTTTAGACTGATCGTGAACGAAGTATACCTATAACGGATTCTTGCCTCACAGAACAAAGACCAAAAATGGAAAATTATGGACACAACAGAAATTAAAATTAATTTTATTTATGCAACTAAATTAAACTATATTATTTTGTATATTGTAGAAACAAGAATATTTTATACGAAGTATCAATAGGACTTGCTGTCTTTGTCTCCATTATTGTAAATAGATTTTGTATAAGTATCTTTTGTTTTTTTATTCATAAACCAAACTAACAATGTGTATGTGATTAAATTTATACGTTATTTTAGAAATATTTTGTGGTATATATATGTAAGTGAATATTTAGAGTTTTGTTTCTTTTTGTGTCATTTTTTTCAGTTTTTCGACACAGCCCATGGAAACGATTACGGTTAAAACAAGGACCGAATTTCTCGTGAATTGTAAAATTTTAATCACAAATCGATGTCTCTCATTCAAGAGTGCACACTAGATCACAAAGAGATGCATCTCTAATAAACGTAAAATAACAAACTCTCTTTAAGTTAATTGTGATGCGTTCAAGGAGTTTCCACAGCACTTCGGAGGGTCTTATTTCTATCTTCCTGCTCCTTCCCTCTTTTCCTCCTCTATTTGTATCACTTTCCCCCGTTACATTAATGGGCCCCTTGCAAACTTTTGCTAGAGCAAAAATAAGAGTTGTTCCTTACAGATAATGTCTCAAAAATCACGATGAGCGCATCGGCAAACTCTGAAATGCACTCCTAACTTCATCGACAGAGAACAGGGGAGAATTTCATGAGTCGTCCTGCGCCGTCCGCAGCGCGTATGGCGCACGACCCGCCTTTCATTATTACATTTCATCTAGCTTTGAGAGTTCACTGATTACTCCACACGACCGGTGTGTATTTTTAAAAGTCGAAAATTAAAAAAAGAAAATTTACACGATCTAGTCCCTCCGCCAGGAAGCCCTCCCCCTGCCTGAAATCGGTCACCATCCGCCCGTCGGTAGAGCCGCGGCGTGCTGCCAGCGCGAAAGGTGCACTGACGCCTACAAACCTAAGAGGATACTTCAAGTATTCCGCAATACGTGAAGTATCCCCTTAGGTTTGTAGGCGTCGGTGGGCGTTTCGAGCTGGCAGCACGTCGCGTCGCGCCGCACCGTGTCACAAAATTCGTAGGCAATTTGACGTCAAATTCGATATTAGCGACCCACAAAACATATGTTACGAAACTTTCGTGATCTTTCAGTCATTATCCGACTTAATTCTTCCTATGCTTGAGTTT